TGGGACTAAAGGCGTGCACCACCACCACCTGGCTAGGCACATCTTTTTTAGTGTCAAACTGTAAGCAATGTCCATACTGAGTGTTGTAGTTAACTCACCAATTTAAAAGTTAATTCTATGGCCAAGTGTTGGTGGTGCATGCCTTTAATCCCAGCACTCGGGGAGGCAGAGGCAGGCAGATCTCTGTGAGTTCGAGGCCAGCCTGGTCTCCAGAGCAAGTGCCAGGATAGGCTCCAAAGCTACACAGAGAAACCTGTCTCAAAAAGCCAAAAAGCCAAAAAAAAAAAAGTTAAATCTATGGTTTCTATGAAGATCTTCGACATTCTAAAATTTGATCAACACATTTATATCTATAATTCTGAATTACTTATTTCTAAAAACTGCCTCAAATTTAAAATGTAATATAAAGTGTTATATAAAGTATAGGTTATAATAATCTCATAAATTTTACTGGGCATGTACTTGAGAGTTAAAACCTTACAAATATAAAGAAAAACATGCAAGAGTTTGAACACACACTTAAAATGTCTCTGTGTACTGATACAGAACTAAGGATGCTTGTTTAGTGAGTTCAGCATGATAAAGTCATGCTACTCCATCTTTCTTCACAGGCTTCATGACTTCATGAACCTTTGCAAATCTAACTGTCCCTTCTCTGATGTCAGACATGAGTGAGCAGGAAAAACTCTACTTGAATGGAGTGGAGACAGCAATTTGTTAGATAGAAACCAGATAGAGGAATGACCGAAAGAGGAGCCACTAGCCTGGAAGTGAAAGTGCTATAACTTCATGTCTTTCCTCTTCTATCAGCTTTTCTAGGTGGTTAAGTAGGAGTATTCTTCTTATGTAAGACTGGGACCCTGAAGTCCAAGTCCCCTTTACTGAGCTTACTGACGGCAGTTCTAGGGACACGGCTGAATCCAGGCAGCCAAGAGGCCTACACAGAAGGCTACAGATAAAAGGAGGGAGCTTTGGGGTGTTAAAGAGATCATGGCAGCTAGCCTGCCATGAGATGAGGGGGATGTGTTAGTTCATGAAGACTTCTCTGCTACACTCAGAGACCTTGAGACCCAAAGACAGGTGGGGCCAGCCTGGTCAAAACCAACCTGTTTTCTCAGGATGTATCTGGAGGGCTCCCTCTTGCCATGAACATTTCTGAAGTCACCTATGCACACCTACTCCTTTCCCCTCCCACAGGCCTTAAAGACCTTGGCTCGACTTCAAGCCCTTTGAGAAGTGAAGGGTTGAGCCAGGAGTGCTGTGATCTGGTTTATACTTCAACAGGATCATTCTAGTTTCCAACTGGAATCTGAGGACACAAAGACAAGACTGGTGAAGCTACTAGAGCTATAACCCAGGTAAGAAATGCCGGTGGTCTCATATAGTAGGCAACAGCCAGAAGAATCCTCCTTCAGACAGCAAAACAGAAACAGACAATAATGGACAGTATAAGAAAGACAAAACAGGCAGAGACAAAGAACCACAGATAGAGGGAGAAATAAAGACACTAGGAAAGAGAGAGAATAAACCCATAGACAGAGTCTTGCATCAGGCAGTGAGAAACAGTGAGGGAGAGACAAAGGGAAAGGAAGAAAGAGAAAGTGGGGGAGGGGTATCTAACACAGGCCATCTTATTTAAGCAGTCACATGACTAATGAATGGTAGAATATGATTCAACAACAGTAAAGGAACTTTTTAAAAATTAAAATTAGCCAGGCATGGCAGGGAGGCGTAGGCAAGATTATCTCAGTGAATTCAAGGTTGGCCTAGCCTTAAGAGCAAGTTCTAGGCCAGCTAGGACTACACAGTGAGACTGTTGCAAAACAACAACCAAAAAACCCAGCAATTAATTATTATAAATAAGTGGGTTTCATTATGATATTTTTATACAAGTCCCCAGCGTCTTGCTTGGTAGCTTCTGGCTGGCCTAGTATTAGCAATGTAGTCCAGGCTGGCTTCGAACCTACAACAACATTTTTGTCTCAGCTTTCCCAGTGCTGGAATTACTAGCATGTGCCACCATGCTTGGCTTCCCTTTACTTTCACTTCTTTTTTCTTCCCATTCTAAATTCTATATATGAGAGGATATATGGGATACTTGTCTCTGTGAATCTGAATTATTTTACCATACATAATTAGCTCCTGGTTACATATGGCTAAGCAGGGAAACCCCTGAGATTATAAGCTATGCACCATGTCAGTCTTTTACACAGGTTTTTAAGACTGAACTCTGGTCCCCATACTTGTGAAACAAGTATTTTACAGACTGAGCTATCTTACCAGACCAATTTCTTTCTTCTTTTTAAAAGGACAAGCAAACATAGTTTATTGAGAAGTAGAGAAACAACTCCCTGACACAGGACAGGTACTTAAAAAAGAGTTGCCTAATGTCATGTCTTCTTTATGGCAGAAACAAGGACAAGGCAGAAAGGAATCCTTATACATTGTCGATGGGGATGTAAATTAGTTCAGCCAATATGGAAATCAGTATGGAAGTTCCTCGGGGAAAACTAAGAATAGAATTACCATATGATTTTACTGTAACACTCCCAGATACATAGCACAGAGAATTAAATGCAACACAATACAGACACTTGCACATCTACATTTACCACGGCACTAATCACAACAGCAAAGTTATGAATTAACCTGGATGCCCATCAACAGATAAATGGATAAAGAAAATGTGGTCCACACATACATAATAGAAATAGAATTTAATTTACCCATAGAGACTTTAAAAATGGGTCAGTGTTAGTATCAGTATCTAAAATTACAAACTGAAAATGAGTTCTTTTTCAAAACAAAGCTTCTACTTTTGTTTGTTTCAGACAAGGACTCATGTGGTTCAAGTTGGCCTTTAATTCATTATGTAGCAGAGGATAACCCTGAACTCCTGCTCCTCCTGCCTCTACCCCACAAATGCTGGGGTTACAGCACAAAGTTCCTTCTGAAAGATCTATTTCTCTGGTAAACTGAGTCTTTTCCTACAGTAATACACTTCTGGTATACTGGAGAAGCAGATGCAAATAAGGGGCAGCCTTTCACCATGGAGACAAGAATGTCAGTGCATGCTGCAATAATAAAACCAATTGATTTTTCTAATCTTAAAATTTTATGTACCAAGGGTGGGCATGGTGGTTCCCACCTTTAATCTTAGCACTCTGGAGGTAAATGGCTGTTCAACACCATGTGATGCTAGGAACTGAACCCAGGTCTTCTGTAAGAACATCAAGTGCTCTTAACCATGGGGCCATCACTCCAGCCACCTAAAGCAAAAGTTAATCAAGAGTAAAAAGAAGTTTTTCAAGCTAGTGGAGTGGAGTGCTAAAAATGCCTACTGTTCTTTAAGTTCAAAAATGTTTTCTGAGAATGTCAGTGTTATAAAGATTTAACTCCTTTAATTTACTGTACCAACCTGAAAAAAAAAATTCAATCTTAATAAAGGGGTTAGGTCAGGACAACCCTAAAGAATAATTTTCTACTCTCCAATACTCTTTATCTGAGGATGGGTTTGAGACACTCACTGGGAGCTTTCTTTTCTACCGAGTACTGCCTGTTTCTGTATCTAAATAGGTATAATGATCTTCTACAACTGAATCCACTCTACACTCTTTTGACAACTTTCCTCCTGGGTCCAGTTTATCAAATTTGTTTTTGATAAACAAATTTGATACAGGTTTCCCTGGCCTGTCACTGACACTGCTATGAACAGTACCCAGACAGAGCAGGAGAAAACTTGGAACTATCACCTGCATCCACACAACTGGGCTTACGAAGTATGACTTAGGGGATGTGTCACCTACTTGGCAATAGGTCAGCTTCTCCCTTCTGGCTTACATACCCCACAGGAGTTGTTCCTAAACATTTTAGCCTAGTGCTTCATATAAGCTCTGTACTCTAGTCATATAGGAAATGAGTTCTCACTTGGGACAGATGCCACCAGGCCTTATGTAAGATCTCAGTGAACCTTCACAACCATCTGTGCACCAACCTATATAAAATAGGACTCTCTTTCCAAACAAACTGGAATGCTTCTCTTTGAACCTAATATTTAAACCTTACACATGAACAAATGCTAAGTAAACAGAATAGCTGAGTTATTCAGATTATCTGAAAAGGAATTCTAGTATCCTCCATTAAATCTTTAATGGAGCCTACTTCAACAGCTGAACAATGAAAAGAAAGTGTGGCCTTTTGGATAAGAAAGTGTTCACCAGCTGGGCGTTGGTGCACACTTTTAATCCCAGCACTCGGGAGGCAGAGGCAAGCAGATCTCTGTAAGTTCGAGGTCAGCCTGGTCTACAGAGATAGTTCCAGGACAAGCTCCAAAACTATACAGAGAAACCCTGTCTGGGAAAACCAAACCAAACCAAACAAAAGAATGTGTTCACCTTATCCACAACTTCCTCAAGGAGGTACTAATATGTCCCAAAATGAACAAAAGGAGAGGGCAGAATGAGGTGAAAAGCCAATCCACAGGAAACAGACAAAACAATTCTGGACTGTTTACTACATTTAGGACGCTTTATAAAAGTTCTCAATTTATAAAGTAGATTCACAGTGTTAATATTCAAGAATGTGTCTGATAGAACATGCCTGTAATCCTGAGACCAGAGAGGCTTCAGTACGAGGGTCATGAGTCCAAGGCCAGCCTGGGTATACAGCAAGACTTTGTGTTTAAAAAAGGAAAAGAAAACAAAGCCCAAACCAAAAAGCACAGAATGGACAATAATGAAATTGAGGCTACCTATTTCAATGCCTGTATATTAGTGTTTGTACCTACCTCCTTCGCACTCTTAATTTTGGTCAGAAATGTATGCAGTTCCATGGTTTCTGCAAACAGTGCTCGACATACTGCCTGATAATGATTTGGTGCCTCCGACTCAGCTGGGAGATGAGCAGCACATATCTACAGGAGAAAAAAAATGAAATAATAGAATTGGGCTATTACTGGCATTTTAGGTACCATTAAAACAGACACACCCAGTCTACCTGTGTTTTTTCTTTTAGTCAAGTCCTATTATCCAAGGTTTAATGTACCACAGGACCATGCAGAAAGTCCACATGATCTATGGAGAAAAATGTTTTAACTAAAGGACGCCTAACAGCAAAGATAAGCTGACTAGAATTAGCTCCTATTGGAAGGTGATAGGACATGCACCAAAGTTTAGCCTGACAGGGGAAAAAAAGGGAATTCCTAAATATTGAGGATAACTCAGATATTTTAACAGTGTCATTACTAGTTTCAGCTGTCAACCTGACAGAAGTCTAACCTGGAAAAAGGTAACCTCAACTGAAGAACTGCCTTAATCAGATTGGCTTATGGCCAAGTCTTTTAAAGACACGGTTTCTCTGAGTAACAGCCCTAGCTGACCTGGAACTCACTCTGGAACTCAAACTCACAGAGGTCCACCTGCTTCTGCCTCCCAAGTACTGGGATTAAAGTTGTACACCACCACAGCCAGCTATGGCCAAGTCTTAATTGTGGCCATTTTCTTAATTGCTGATTGACTAGGAGGGCTTAGCCCACAGTAAGTAGTGCCATCCTTAGACAGGTAGGTTTGGATTGTAAAAGAAAGCTAGCTAAGCAAGCCAGAGGGAGCATGCCAGTAAGCAACATTCCTCCATGGTTTCTGACTCAAGTTATTGCCCTGACTTCCCTCAACAATGGACTGTACCCTGGAAAATGAAACAAACCCTTTTCTCTCCAAGCTGCATTTGGTCATAGGACTTATCACAGAAACAGAGAAAGCAAACTAGGACAACCAACTACCATTTTCTGAGCATTTCTGAGCATACATATCTGACATGTCATATATACAGCACAATACCATGCACTCTCCAATATAATTCTGAATCATCCTCATTTTGTTTTGTTTTTTTAACTATGAGCAGAATCTAAGCACACCTCTACTGGGTTCTGAAGCCCACACTTGTTCCCTTGTGAAGCCTGGGGAGGTGGGAATGGAGGGTGGAAGAGGGCACAGAGCCGGCCCAGCACTCAGGTGCTGTCTATGGTCCTCATGCCCCAAAATGACTGTAAGAGATGCAACTTAATATGATGCAAAGAGATTTAGAAACAAATGCATACCGGGTCCTTATTACACTGCAACAATATCCTCGTAAGAGTCCAAAGAATAATGTTATCTTTCTATAAAATAATTATTGTGTATCTATGTTCAATAGTCATATTTTTTTTAAGATTTTATTTTTATTTCTTACTTATACAGTCTATACAGTCTTCTGCCTGCATGCCAGCAGAGGGCATTCAAGGTGGTTGTCAGCCACCATATGGTTGCTGGGAATTGAACTCAGGACCTTTGGAAGAACAGTCAGTGTTCTTAACCGCTGAGCCATCTCTCCAGCCCCAACAGTCACATTTTAAAGCATTTCATGTGCAATAAAAAGCTGTTTAGCTTCTCTTAATTAGATATTAATATAATTGTTGGAAAGAAATCTGCAATATTTTAACAATTCCTAGAAAGAATCAAGGGAGCTGGATAAGGTGAGTCCATGGCTGCTAGGTAGGCAGAGACAGGGACACTAGGAATTCATGGTTATCCTCCACAACACGGAAGGCTCAGGCCTGCCTGGGCTCCATGAAACACTGTTTTATTAAAAGGGTCAAAAGAGGCCGGGCGGTGGTGGCACACTCCTTTAATCCTAACACTCAGGAGGCAGAGGCAGGTGGATCTCTGTGAGTTTAAGGTCAGCCTGGTCTATATACTGAGTTCCAGGCCAGACAAAGCTACATGAGACCCTGTCTCAAACAAAAAAAGAATATCAAAAGTCAAAAGAAAAAAAGGTATTCAATGGTAGTTGTATTGCTTTTCATGTTTCTTAGCTTCTTTTTCTTTGTCTGCCTTCCTTCCTTCATTTCTTTATCACACAGAAGATTTCTGTGTTGTTTGTGGTGACAAAGTACCAAGAAAAACAAAGGAGCAAGGATTAATTCTGACTTGTGGCTTCATAGGTTTTAGTTCAAGCTCACTTGGCTCTCTTGGTTCTGGGCCCTTGTGTGGTGAGAAGTTGAACACCACAAGGAAAAGATGAGGTAGAATAATGTGGCTATATCATGGTGGGCAGGTGGCACAGAGGGAGGAACTGGCAGAGAATACCCTCCAAAAGCACTCCACAAAGGCCTACTTCCTCCAAAAAGGCCAATCCAACTATGATCTTACCAGAGGACTAATCCACTGATGAAGTTATCATCATAACTTAATAGCACCACGAGGTGAGAACTAAGAGCCTTTGTGGGGTTATCCTATCCAAAATGTATTATCCCTACCCAAATTCAAAATTATTTCCTTAAGATTCTTTTTTTCTTTCTGGAGATGGGGATCAAACCCAGTGCCTGTGCTCGATAGGCCTGTGCTCCACTCCTGAGCTAAATCCCCAATCCTAGGATGTATTTTCTAAGACAGCAATTCAATATCAAATTTCGTGAGATGTTCATCACAAGCAAACCAACAAAAAGCACATTCACAAAAACTACTATAAACCTTGATCACTAAAATGATACAAATTTTCAGATCCTATAATCCCTATCATTTGTATTATTGCAACTTAGTTTCATGCTTTTGTAGCATGAATTCTAACTGGTATTAAAAATAAAAACTTGTAGTCAGCTATCAGGGGTGAAAGCTGAGGGATCAGAGAAGCAGAGCGGCAAGTCACTAGAGTTCTTACCTATACCAATACTTAGACCAAAGGGACGATCCTGTCCTCAGACTGCATCCTCAGACTCCATCATCTCCTGTCTTATATTCTTCTCTCTGCCCAGCCATATCCCTTCCTGTCTCCACCTCCTTAGTGCTGGGATTAAAGGTGTGAGCCATCTGTGTGTCTCTTCCTCCTCTATTCTTTGTGTAGCCCGTCCAAACCACACATGGTCAAGCCTGTAGCCACTGACAGAACATAAATTTTGCTTCTGTTTTTTTTTCCTAAAGATTTATTTATTTATTATGTATACAGTGTTCTGCCTGCATGTGTGCCTGCAGGCAGAAGAGGGCACCAGATCTCATTACAGATGGCTGTGAGCCACCATGTGATTGCTGGGAATTGAACTCAGGACCTTTGGAAGAGCAGGGGGTGCTCTTAACCTCTGAGCCATCTCTCCAGCTCCCAAATTTTGCTTCTTATGCAATATCTTTTTCTATTCTTCACATTTTACCTTACTGTTTATCAGTGGTCTTCACAGAATTAGCATGTCAGTTTTGATCTGCCAACTCCCAAATATGTTTAAATTTTTTTTGTTTGTTTTTGTTTTGTTTACGGGACAGGGTTTCTCTGTGTAACAGCTCTGGTTATCCTGGAACTAGTTTTGTAGACCGGGCTGACCTCAAACTCACAGAGATCTGCCTGCCTCTGCCTCCCAAGTGCTGGGATTAAAGGTGTGTGCCACCACTGTCCGGCTACATTTTTGTTAAAATTATTTTGTTTTTGACTACCCTGTAAGCATCGATGGGGTTCGGCATGATACTTCCACACAGGCATATGACCTGTGGTGCCTAATCTTTATTAACCTAGTTTATATTTGGATCAGTTTTGTTTTTCTTTTACATGAGAGGAACATGGTGTTTCTTTTTATACACAGCTTATTTCACCTAGGATACTATCCTTCCATGTCTATTTTTAAAATAAGCCTTAACATCTAGAATATCTAATATGAATAAAATTTGTGGAAAGTTAACACAGGTGGTTCACAACAGCCTGTAACTCCAGTTCCAAGGCATCTGTCACCTTTTGCTGGCCTCCTTCTTGGGCCATCTGTGTATGTATGCATCTATCTCCTCTCTCTCTCTCCTCTCTCTCTCTCTCTCTCTCTTAAAAAAAAAAGCTGGACCATGGTGGGCACACCTTTAATCCTAGCACTTGGGAAGCAGAGGCAGGTGGATCTTTGTGAGTTCCATGACAACCAGGACTACAAAAAGAAAACCTGTCTTGAAAAACAACAACAAAACTAGTAAAGATTCTATCTAAATAACTCAGAGATTCTCAAGGTTAATTTGTCAACTCTGTCTTAGTTCTCATCTCTATACATTTATAGTCTTCAGGTAGGCAGCAAAACTGAACAACAACAACAAAAACCAAAAGAACAAAAACATTCAGTCTTATCATTGTATACAAATCCTATGGTAAGGCCAAAATCAAAACTCATATAACAATCAGCCGTGACGGAATAGCTCAGTCTTCCAGTACAGAACCTGCTCACAGCTGCCCTCCATTCCACGGAAAGGAAACGCAGACTGCAGTGACACAAAGATAATCAACACCATAGCCAGGCCATAGACACACTGTTGTCAAATGCTGAGTCACTATGCCACTCTTTTAAAGTAAGAGATAACGACTCACAGAAGGACAAATACTACCTGAACTATGGCTTTACCTTCATGACATCTTGATAGGACCGAATAGCTGAGATGTTTCTCTTTCCTCCATCTTCATCTTCTGGGCCTTCATCTGCAGCCTCATAACCCTCATCACTGTTACCATCAGCCTCCACAGTGTTGGCCATTTGGTCGATGAGCTGCTCTAGAGGAGGGCTCAGCTCCCTTTCTTCATTTTCCTTCAAGCCATAGTCCAATGCTTTATAGATAATAATTCCCAAGGATTCAATGACCTAGGAGCATTAAAGAAGGTGGTAAATGGAGGTGACTGGAGACTCTAAGGACTAACTAAGGTACAAAATGTTCAGCATTTCAGACTTAACTATTATTTGAAGAGAAATTTAAAATTTTTTTACCAACGCATATATTTAAAAAATTTGAAACCAGCAATTTTTGTGTGATTTCATTATAACCTATCCATAAATCCTTTTCATACTTTCTTAAGCTTATACTAGATGTTTAAGATCAGTACTTCCCATTCATACAAAAAAAAAAAACTGATCAAGCTGACTTGCTATATTTCAAAAAAAAAAATATGCCAATGTTTAAATACTTCACAGATACCCCAAAGTAGCTGAGACTGAAAATTCAGTTCTAAGTAGCAATTACTTAAGCCCAAATAACAAGAAATCTCTTCATATCAGTACACCGAGTTCTACTCACTGGAGACTTATTTTAAACCTAGAGCTTGCAATGAAGGACACAGATAACCCTCCCTCCTGCCCACCTACCTCCATCAACAATACTTTCAGGCAATACGAGCCTGACTTGTGGGTCCATCACTGCTAAACAGCACCCTGACAAGTGCTCCAGATGTGGTCAGTATGGAGAATTCTAGATTATTCCTCAATACTGCCTTTCTCACTTGCTCAGTAAAATCACAAATGTAGTGCCTTTATTTTACTTTATAAAACCAATAGCACTAGTCATTTCATCTTGGATCTTTTTCCTTTAAAAGAAAGTAACAGGCTGGGCATTGGTGGCGCACGCCTTTAATCCCAGCACTCGGGAGGCAGAGACAAGCGGATCTCTGTGAGTTGGGGCCAGCCTGGTCTCCAGAGCAAGTGTCAGGATAGGCTCCAAAGCTACACACAGAGAGAAACCCTGTCTTGAAAAATCAAAAAAAAAAAAAAAAAAAAAAAAAAAAAGTAATAGAGTCAATGACATAATAGCTTTAGAATGAAAATTACTGACCCTTATCACTAGTCATCTGGCTCAAGGAAAAATATTTTAGGTGATTTTTCTGTAAAATGGGTACTAATAACATTTACATTTCATGAGATCTTGGAGACATAAAATGCATGATTATGTATGAAAGGAGAGTACCTGAGTTAATAAGTGTAAACTATCCTTCCCCCTTCCCCTACATTCACTTGTTTCCAATGTTTATCTAGTTACCAACCCCAAAATTGCAAAGAAACTTCATTTCCTTTATTCTACCTTGAGTTATTCAACAATAATTTGATTTTTAAAGAATAATCTATGCAGTATTTTTTAACCTGAGTTGTAAGATAAGTTAAACACAATAGCATCAATGTCATCATATAGAACACCTGTAAAAGCATTCACTCAATTACTCAACAAACTCAACAAAATCTGGAAGCTATATTACCACAGGAAATAATTCAAGCATTTAAAATGAATATAGTATTTCTTAAAATTCTTTTTCAAAGATTTATTTTATGTATATGAGTGCTTTATCGACTATGCCAGAAGAGGGCATCACATCCCATTACAGATGGTTGTGAGCCACCATGTAGTTGCTGGGAACTGAACTTAGGACCTCTGGAAAAGCAGCCAGGGCTCCTACAGCTGAGCCATCTCTCCTACTTTAAAAAAAATACTTCTGCATAAGATAGCAGATTAGAAGCTGCCTCTTTGTGACCTGATGAAGGGAGAAGAGTCAAGATAAGGTAGATGGATTGCTCCAAAGAGAAAGCAGATAAGCATCAGGAATACACCCCTGGATGATTGGGCCAGCAGAAACTGCAGATAGAATGATGTAGGGAGAAGCATATGGAAGGGAGATTTGGAAAATCCTCCCTGCTTGCAGAAGCCCTGGGAGCAACGGCCATTCAGTGCAGGGCCTGCCCACTGACACCAAGTGCTGGGCTAGAACGCATAGGGAGTCAGAAAAAGACAAAAGGGTCGTAGAGGGGCCAGGAACTTGTAGTTACAGGTGCTGGCTGCAAGGCCATGGAATGTGGCAGCCGAAGGTTGTCTTACTCTTCCATCATCCCAGAGTGACTTAACTGAAGGGAAAAGCCCATCCTACCCACACCCAAAGCAAGTGACAACCTGGGAGTACAATAACCAGAAGTAAGCCAAGGTGAAGAGATTCCACAAGGACAAAGACAGCCTCAGCAAAGAGTGGGAGCCAGAAGTACCCAGAAGAAAAGAAGTATTAGCCATCTACTGTCCCCATTTCCTCAGAGCCTTGGACACCAGAACTCATGTATCCAGAAAAGTGTGGGCCTGGCAAACCACAGAGAAGCAATAGCTGATAGCTGGTGGAGAGAGACTAAAGGAGCCATCCCAAGCTCTGAAAGAAGGAGCTACTAACTAAATCTGACACAAATTCTTGGCAGGAAGGACGTACTGATCCAGGTTGCTTGGCAAACACCAAGCAGGACAAATGCAAGAACAAACAAGCATAGAAACAAACAAAAATTGAATTTAGACATGTGTTTTCAAATTTCAAAAAGTCAAAGAAAAATCTTTCTGAAAGAAGCTAGTGTTGGAACAACCATCTTACTAATAAGGTAAGGAAATGAAGGGCATGGGACTCTCAGAAATGTGAAGGACTCCAGGAAAGACTGTCTGCAGAGACTGGTTGATCAAAACTGCAGTACTGTGGGAAGACTGAAATGTCATACAGGTCCAGATACAAGTTACCTTATCTTGGGCTAACACTAGTCGCCTGGATAGTTCACCTTATCCACACCTGTGTGTCTGCACTAACATCTTATGAGTAATAGATAAAAACAATTGGAACCTACTGACTTAGCAGAACCACTGGCTTCCACCAAAGCTAAGAATGTTACCAGATGGCCTCTGAGGCCTATAGAAAGATTCCCTCATCTTGCTGTACCTGCCCCTGTGATGTTACCACCAATGTTCTATAAAACCTCATGAAGCTTCTTCTAGGTCCTGGGCCATTGTCATTCAAAATGGCTCCAGAATAAACAATATCTTATTCTCTTTAGGGTAACAACTGTGTTTTTTTTTTTTTTTGCATCAATAGAAAGCATTCAACCAGATGGAAACAAAATATTCATTGCCTAGAGGGAAACAACAACAAAACCAACCAACCTATATACTTTGTACTCTACAAGGTTATCCTTCAAAAGTGAAGGAGACTTTCTCAGAACCAATACAATGTCCTAGGTGCCATCACTAGCTTGGGGAGTGGGGATAATTCTTTAGAAAGAAAGAAAACAAGTCAGAAATGATCTTTATGAAAAGAAAATCACTGAAGAAAGAATAAATTAGGGTCAAGTAAAACTTTTCTTCTGACTATTAACAAATGACAGTTTAAAATAATTAACAGCCACACTAATTATGTGTGCTTACATATGTATCTCCTGTGTTGCGTATGTATGCCTGACTATAAGCCAGAAATAATACAAGTGAAAGGAGGAAGAACTGGGATTATTTTGGTAGGACAGGTCATTTGCACTACCTACAAAGTGGCTGGAATAGTGTTACAGGAAACTGAGCTTGAATTAGTTGTAAATGCACACTGTAAACGTTAGGGCAGCCAGTGTTCTAAGAAAGGTGAGAAAACACAATCATATAAAATGTTCCTTTGAAATCACAAAAGGCAGGAAGACCATTGAATGCAAAAGAGAAGAGCAGAGACCAAAGGTTGAAAAAAATAGAAAACAAATGTGGTAGATGTTAATACAACTTTATCAGCAATAATTTGGGGCATCAATAGTCTACATGCTTCAAATATGAGTCTAAAAGTGAAGTAAAAATCAGTATATTGTCTAAAAGAAAACCCCTTAAAGGAATGGAGACAAATAAACTAAGCTGACACTAATCTAATAAGAACAGGACTACTCCATGACACTGCCTGGTGAATCTCTGGCTCACTCAAAAATTGTGAATTGTTATGGACACATCTTAATTCTCCAACAAGACTAAGCTCATTAAAAGCAAAAATCCCTCTATACTTCATAAGTTCAAATTGTTTTATAAGCAGTAGGTACTCAATATTCAATGGACAAGTAAGATATTTATATAAGATATAAATTCTTCCACTCACGTATGCAAGGTTCCAAGTTTAGATATGGACCCTATGGTCACAGGTAGGATTACCTGTCACTTTAATCTCTGTCCTCCCAATTGACCACCACACTGATAATCCAACCTGATTGGCTCTGAAACATCCTGGAGTTCTCCTACCCAAAAGTAAAGAGCATCTGGTCCATTTAAACATTCCAGAACTGTTCGTCTTAAGCCTGACTTCACCCTGAGTCACAGTTCACTGTAAATGAAGCCAGCCTCTTATAGACAAAGGGATAACACAGCTGGGCTTCATTATACTGGCATGTTCACCAGGTGTCTCTTTCCTTCTATGGAAATGAAGGAGCCTCAAGAAGTTTGTATGTCGTTAGTTCTTAGTCTTGAGCTCAGGACAAGAGGTGACCACAAGAAAAACTACCAAAAATTTAAGAGTATTTGGACACATATCTGGATATAGCATCTCCCAGTTAAGATAACTACTTAAAATTAACTTTAGAAGAACATTGGTCAAATCATGTGGCAACATTTTTAAAGGCTGAAGGAGCTGGAGAGATGGCTCGGTGGCTGGGAGCAAATACTACTGCTCTTCAGAGGGCCTGAGTTTGATTCTTAGCACACTCACAATCACTCCTAACTCTGACTCCATGTGGACTTGATGCCTCTGGTCTCCACAGGCACAAATACTTATGTACACATACACCCCACACACACACACACAATGAAAAATAAAATAAATATTCAAAAGTAAAATGATCAAGTGTGTGGACTCCTCATCAAAGATAAAGTAGATGGCAACAGGCACATAAAAAGAACCTGTTCTCCATGCAATGGTATCTCACGTCTTTAATTCTAGCACTCAGGGTGGGGAGGGTGGTGGTTGGAGGAGGGAAGAAACAAGCAGATCTATGAGTTCGAGGCCTGCCTGGTCTATAAAGTGAGTTCCAGGATGGCCAGGGCTACACAAAGAAACCATGTCTTGAAA